TTCCCTAGGGAAACCCAAAAATAAGTCAGAACTGCACCCCTGCCCGCCTTGTGAAGCGGCGACCGGGTCTAGGGAAACCCCGCTGGGCCCCGGGAGCCTCCTCTCCCAGCGGCGCGCCGTCCCCTTGGCGAGAAGGACCTGGCCACTGGAATTTTGGGAGCCAGCAGCGCAGGAGAACGGGTGCTAGGAACGCTGAAGCATGCCCTTTTCGAGGCACGGCCCCAACGTACCCGTGATACTTGGCGGCGCGATGCAAGAAGCAACCGTCGCTGCGCAGGTAAGCCAGCGCCCAGAGTAGCCTTGCGGTCTTTTGCTACCGTCACCCAGCATTTCTGATCAATTCCCTCTAACCGGGCTGTTTTTTAAAACGCTGAAAAAAAATTATTAGATGGGTAATGGGACGGAAACGCAGCGTAATGAAAGCAGAAGAGCCAGACAACGCGTTAAAATACCAGCTTGATGCCCAATTCCCCAACTGTTGTAGAGGTACCACCATGTTTTGCACAATTCTGGCAGTTTCACAACTATTTGTATTAAAGATTCGCCTTGGTCAACATTGTGGACAAATTCACGGCGGCAGCTCAGTTAGTTTCTGGACGGCGCAAGGAAACAGGCAAGCCCTCCCTGGCTTGCGGACAACCTGAGATTTAGATGCCCCCCTACCTTTCCTGTGGTCTGTCCGTAGAGCCCAAAGATCTCCCGCAGTTTCTCCTCACTGATGGCCTCCGGTCTGTCAATTTTGTTACCCAAGATAAGGATTGGCACGTTGGATATTGTTTCGTCTGTCATTAGTGCCTGTGTGCAAGACAGAAGGAGAGTTAAGTTTGAGGAAAAACATTTTGTTGAGGCTCTGTGACCACCGAGGGCTATTTTTTGGTGCTACAGTACTCCTGTGGAAGAGGAGTCTCTCCAGAAAGGTTTCGCAGAAGCGGCTCCTATCTAAACGCACGGGCCATTTCAAAACTTCTTCAGCTCTGGGAGACCATACTGATAAATCCATACCGATCCGGTCCCTGCATAAAGTAACGTGCAAATTCCTACAAGCACACGCTTTGGACACCGCATGGCTGTCCCAAAAGGCGCGCTGGAAGTGCAAATCGAAAGCACGAGACTCTCAAAGCACGCTGTGCACAAGTTCCAGCCCCCAAAAGAAGAGTATTATTTATAAATTTAGCTATTCAGAGGTCTTGGGGAAAAAAACCCAACAACTATATTTACATTAAGCTCAACTTTGGATTCCATAAGACGTGAGTGATCTGCGCAGTCCACCAGGAAGACGATCCCGTTGATGGCCGGCAGGTAGTTCTTCCAGACCCGGCGAGCTGGAAGACACAGAAGCGACAAACACCGCTCCGTGAAAATGCTACCGGAAGCAAGGGGAAAACTACACCCAAAAAGGAGCCACCCTCTTCATTATTATTTCCTCAAGGCAAGAGAAGACCTTCTGGTGAAGGGACTGGCTGAGGCTGTGAGCCAGGTGGTTCAGAGAGCCAGTTACGCTTGCTTGGCTTTCGTTAAGTAAGCCTCTGCAACCACGGCTACCTTTTCAGCCGGGGTGTCTTTCTTCTGGTATTTTTGTGTATTTAAAAAAAAAAAAAGGGCAGAAAAACTTTGCTTAGAACTTCTAGAAAGTCTAAAAATAAAAATTCAGCAATTATTCAAAAGAATAAGCCTATGACATTCAAGTCTTCCATGGCTAAAAGTATTTCAGGCAGCAGAGCAGGAACTGGCCGCATTTTTTTCCAAACTGCCAGAACTAAGCAGAAGTATTGAACCACTGAAACAACAGGTATCCTAGAGCCAGGAGGTTATTTCCACGTATTGCTCCGTAAATAATTTCAGGCAACAAATAATTAGGTGCTGCTAATTGCTATCCCTTTTCAGTATCGCTTTTTGGTAGATTTTTCTCAAGGTGGCTGGAGAACATCACAGGAATCAGAAAATTAACCTCATTCAGTGTCTCCCACTCAGCAGCTTCACTTTTACCTTGTTCATGTCCACCCAGATCAAAAGTTGTAAAGGTCATTCCAGCAATCGTCAGCTCCTCTGATGCTGAAAAGTAAAAATACAGTCTGCATTTCAGGAAAATAAAGAAGCTGCCATGGCCAGAATTTCTCGGGGACTCGCGTTAACATCACACACGCTCATCCTATCCGATATACTGAAGAATTCGGGAATTCCCTGACTTTCCTGTAGAATTCAGTCACTGAAATGGAGTTGTTTCACAAAACCACAAGCGGGAGAAAATAATTTCTCCCACCTCCCCACTTAAGCACATGCTTATTAGTCTGCAATTATTACACTCTACTACACTTTTCATTAGAAACCCACTCCCTCCCCAAGAGAGGAACCTCATATTAATTGAGCCACGCCACTTCTCAGGCTCTCCGTTTTGTATTTGAGAGGAAAATGCAAATCCGCTTCAGCTTGGGCAACCGACGTGCAGCTGCATCCTCAGGCGCAGTTTTAAGACTCTTAAAGTCTGCCGCCCCAACGTACAGCTATCACCGAGGCATCTTTTGACACCATGTCCCCAAAATTAAAGGGGAAAAAACGAGACCATGAGGCAGGCAGGGCTCAGTCGCTGGCAGACTCACTGGGATGTAGCGTCGGGACATGCTGACCCAGCCTGTCATCTTTGAGCATGTGCAGCAGAGTGGTTTTGCCTGCGTTATCCAAGCCCAGGAACACAAGTTTTCCCGACTTCTTGTACAAACCTGGAAGGAAAACAAACAAGCAAGAAAAACTCCAGCAGGCTTATCTTGGTGGGTGAGCAGAAGTGCTGCGACGCTTGCCGCTGTGTTTATATGAGCCCCTCGCCCAGAGCTATGCTGCTACCTGTGCATTTACAGTCCTCCCAGCATGGACACAGAACAGTGGGGAAAAAAACCCTACAGCTGGAACTGCCTTTTACCAAGACAATGCAAGGTAACGTCTACAACACCGGACATTTTCTAAGCTCGTGTTTCTGTGAGGAACGTGTTCATTTCTCAGATACATCCCAGCAGAAGAGCGTGCAGCAAAGCACTGCTTACGTGCAATGGGTTACGGATCAATCTGTCACCCCCAAAGGGGTATTTAAACGTGAAAATTGAATAAACTCATAAAAGAGAGCAGCAAGTTGTTGGAGAAAATGTGCAAAGCGTGAAACAACACATCATTTTCTTTAGATAAACTGACTTTTTTTCCACTTCCAGGTATGCATCTGCCGTGTGAAAGTTCCCTTAGGTGTCCAACAGGACTTTTTCTCATCCCTCCTTAGCCCTCGTGAGGCAATCCAGACAGAGAGCACCCCGTCCTCCAGCCAGGACCTCTGCTGGAATTCATGACTCTGGCAGGAGGAGCTTTGCCAGCACCCGCACCTCAGGAAAGGGCTGCTCACACCACGGTAAAGCAGCCAGCCCAGCTGCGCAGGTCACCCCAGATTAGGCAATGTTTTGTCCAGCACCTCCGCAAACAGCCTCCAACCCGGATCACGCAGAGGGCGTTAGTGGCCAGCAGCTCCCCTCAGGCACGCCATGGTGAGTAGCTTGGTGTACGAAGTGATAATTTGAGGAGAAGCAAGCCAGTGAGCTGCAGCTGCGAGACATAAGGGTCAGCTCTGGTGGAGCTGGTGAGCTCGGATACCAGGAGGAGGAGGAGGAGGAGGAGGAGGATGGGGTTCCCTCCCTGGCTAGGCAGCATGTCTGCCTGGGGCAGGGTGCCGAGCTAAATGGGCCCTTGGCATCAGCCCAGCTGCTCTCACGCTTCTAAAGGGCAAGAGAAAGATTGAGTGGGAGCCAAACGCCTCCAAATTACTCTCAGAGTTCTTCCTCCTCCTGGTGTAAAAAACCATTGGTTTGCAGCTTTCTCGCCGGACTCTATCCCAGTCAGAGCTATTGCACGCTCCAAAAGAGATGTCCTTTAATCGCTAACTTTTAAGCGATCTTGGCAACGGACACAAGCCAAACTGACCTCGGGGCAGCTGCCGCAGCCCGAGCCGAGCTGTATAAGAACTAATGTAACGCGGCATTACCTAGAAACTGCAGCACACTGCTGAAGCCGTTGTAGATCCATTCGAAAATGAAAGACATCGCTGAAGATTAATCTCCTGCGGGGACAAAACCAGAGTTAAAGGCGGCAGTGCTCGAGGGAAGCCGGCTGCCTGCCCCCGCCGCCGCCCCCGCGGGATGCTGCCACTCAGGAGCGGGTCCCGCTCCCCTCCCTCCCGCGGGCAGCCGGGCAGGAGCAGAAGCGTTTCCCCCGGGAGGTGACTAATCCCCCTCGCCCCCCCACGCCCCGGGACCAGTTCCCCGAGGGACCGGCCGCCGGACCACCCCGG